TCTTCACTATGCCTACCAAAACTTTAAGACTTGGCAGAAGTCCTTTCAGAAAGGACCGTTGTCAAAGCTAAAGTATTGTTAGAAGTAAGTCTTCATCCTGGTTCATCCAAGCTGGGAATAAATAAGCAAACATGGTGGCTGCTTTGGGAAGAAGGTTACAGTTTATTCATGGCGACTGCTTTGGGAAGAAGGTTACAGTTTATTGCAGAAGAAAGATGGTCCTTGCAAGAAGGAGCATAGGAGAAGAAAGAGAAAGAGCACATGGGTAGAAGGGCTTTTATACCCCCTCCAGCCCTGCTTGGAACAGTTTCCTGTGCCTGTGGCATGAACTTTGAGGCTATTTCTGAGTGTTTTTCTAGGCCTTGATATCTGTGGTTTAATCCCATTATCATATCCTGCTTCCCAGGTGATGGGGCTAATGACTCTTAAGAGCTTCTTTTGTCTTGGGATCCCTGGCTCCAAACTCCCTGATGGTTCCACATCTGCATATGTATAAGACTAGCTACTGCTTTGGGCAAAGAGATGAGGCCATGTTTGGTTTCTGCTTTTCAAAAAATGCTTTTAAAAATCCTTTTGGTGAACAATATCTTTCTTTCTGCCTTTTTAATATTTCCTTCTCTGGGCTAACTTCCCACAGTATGTAATTAACTTAAAGGTGTGTCTCACATGGCGAAGAAGAGATTCCTCTCCCAGAGCCTTCACAAGACCTTTAGTGTCCATTTGCCCAAGGCGAAGGATGTAGAGGGGTCTTCCATCTTGAAAAACAAAGAAAGAACACAGAAGCTGAAAAAAAACACCCTGCCCTAAAAGATGGAATAAGCGTCCAGAAACATGAAAATTAGCATTTGTCCATCCTTCAACTGCCAGCCGGTTGTTGAAATGGAAGATTCTTACCACAACAGCTTAGCATAGAGCCTGCAACCTTGACCTACACCTTTGATTTATGTTATTATTGAGAGTAAAACTTAGAAGTACAAAGGAAAAAAGGGACTTACAACCAACTCTGATGTCAATCAAGGACTAACTGTATATATTTTCTGACGCGCTGCAGAACTACTGATCAATTCAATATTGTACTGTGGATTCAGAAAGGATTCAAACCACTAAGCTGAAGAAAATAGCTACTAATAATGCATTTTTGGAAATGGACCAGATGGGAAAGTGGCAATAAATATTCACGCTCCAAAATGTCACAATAAATATTCACGCTCCAAAATGTTCAGAGCCATGGGTATTCTGGGGAGGGAGGGGGGAGGGCAGAGGAGAACCACAAATGACAAATAACTTACATATGTGCATAGAACGTTGTGATGTAATATAAAGAGCAAGGAGGATTACCTTGACAGAGGGGTGAAACACACCTTAACAGACAGAAAATACGCCGAGAAGGTTCAAACAGACACATCCCTAATTCACTGGCATGTAAGACAGGAGGAGATACAGCACAATATGACACACAAAATTCCATTATTACAGCCACTCTCAACCAACGTCGTTTTAGCTTTCCCACGGAGTTAATCTCCTAGTCCAGGGGTCCCCAACCCCCAGTCAGTGGACCGGCACCGGGCCATGGCCTGCCAGAAACCGGTAAATACAAACAAACGATGCCCCATCCATGGGATACAGGCAGTCCATGAAACCACGCACCTTCCGGTCCATGGAAAAACCTCTCTCCATGGAACCGGTCCTTGAATCCTGAAAGGTTGGAGGCCACTATCCTAGTCTGTCTTCTGGGCCAGACACTGAAGTACAAAAAGTACAGGCTTTGCATTGTGAAGTGACTACATTGCAATTCACGTTGATCACAGATATGAAGGTGTTGGGGACACTGAGTCTTTGCCATGATAGAAGACCATTTTTTTTAATTTCTCAGCTCTCTTTGGAATTACTTATACATCCATTGGGGCAAAAGCCTTCCCAATAAAGTTTTTGAAGGAGAAGAAGTGGCAGAACCTAGGGGTGGAGTTAAAAAGGGGAGTCAGCCTAGAATCCCTTGTTGTTGTTGTTAGTTGCGAAGTCGTGTCCGACCCATCACGACCCCATGGACAACGTTCCTCCAGGCCTTCCTGTCCTCTACCATCTTCTGAAGTCCATTTAAGCTCAGGCCTACTGCTTCAGTGACTCCATCCAGCCACCTCATTCTCTGTTGCCCCCATCTTCTATTGCCCTCCATCTTTCCCAGCATCAGGCTCTTCTCCAGTGAGTCCTTCCTTCTCATTAGGTGGCCAAAGTATTTGAGTTTCAACTTCAGGATCTGGCCTTCTAAAGAGCAGTCAGGGTTGATCTCTTCTAGGACTGACCGGTTTGATCGCCTTGCAGTCCAGGGGACTCGCAGGAGTCTTCTCCAGCACCATAGATCAGAGGCCTCCATTCTTTGGCACTCAGCCTTTCTTATGCTCCAACTTTCACAGCCATACATTGCAACTGGGAAAACCATGGCCTTGACTATACGACTTTTGTTGGCAGGGTGACGTCTCTGCTTTTTAGTATGCTGTCTAGATTTGCCATAGCTTTCCTCCCCAGGAGCAAGCGTCTTTTAATTTCTTGGCTGCAGTCCCCATCTGTGGTGATCTTAAAGCCCAGGAAGATAAAAGACTAGGATCCCTACATAGCCACAAATGAAATATGTCCAACTTCCCTTGAATTCAATTGACCCTTAACTAACTCCAAGAAGGTGCTGTTTGTTGAGAAGATTCTTGTGCATAGGCCGTTTAGCAATAAATCAGTTTGGACTGGATCTCTCCCACCTGACAGTTTTAAATGTTGAACAGCAATGCTCAAGAAACCCACCCCAGAGTCTTCCCAAGGTAACTGAATGACGAACGACTCACCGATTGATGAACTTCATGCCCTGGCATTGAGCAGAGGGCAACAGGGAGACACTCACCTTTGTCTTGGTAATGCCAGCCCCCAGCATAGAATTCCTCCAAAAGAGAAGGTGGCCTCCACGTTTGCAGAATGTAATCCACCTGGTATTGTTTTCGCCAGGCCAAGGACTGGCAGAGCATTTCCCGAGCCTTGTCAATATTGAAGTCCCGAGCCCTCAGGAAACGGAGGATGTACTCATCTTTGGGAACCTGAGCAAAAGAGAGAGTTGTAAGTTAATGCTCGGCTTATTTATTAGATTTGGAATTCCACCTTTCATCCAGGAACTCAATGGGAATTTCATCATATCCAGGCTGAGAGAGATGCCCAAAGACCTTTTGTGGGTGAGAGTGGACTACAACCAGGGTTTGCCCAATCCTAGTCCAGCACCTTCACTGCTGGACCACTTCTGGCTCTTGTCATTCCAAGAACTTCTGTAGTCAAGGGAGGATTAGAATCCAGTTCTCCTCATTCCTAGTCCATCTTAACCTCTATTCCACTTTGGCTCTAAGGCTAAAGAAGGAAGGACTGGCCCAAAGTCCTCCAGGGGGCTTCCACAGTTGAGGATGAGCTTGGACCCAGGTCCTCCTGATGCTAGTCCAGAAATTTCCCTTTTGTACCTATTGGCTCTTGGGCTCAGAAGGAGGGACTGGCCCAAAGTCATCCAGGAGCTTCCATAAATTGTGGAATTGAACCCAGCCCTCCCTGATCCTAGTCCAACACTTCTATCATTACACCACCCAAACAGCGACCATGGAAGGTCCCTTCTAAAAACTATCCCAGGAGAAGGCATGGTAGACATCATCCATAGCGTCGCCAAGAAAGCAACACAGCATCATCAGCAATCAAGCTCAACTGCATAGAGCCTTTCCAGATCATAAACACATCTTGAAGACGCACAGCAAGGAAAATCATTTAAAGAGTCCTTCAGATAGAAGCAAATTTATTTAGAATGCAATCTTAAAGGCAGAGTTTCAGCTTCCTTTGCTTTGTTGTTGTTAGTTGCAAAGTCGTGTCCAACCCATCGCGACCCCATGGACAACGTTCGTCCAGGCCTTCCTGTCCTCTACCATCTTCTGGAGTCCATTGAAGCTCACACCTACTGCTTCAGTGACTCCATCCAGCCACCTCATTCTCTGTCGTCCCCTTCTTCTATTGCCCTCCATCTTTCCCAGCATCAGGCTCTTCTCCAGTGAGTCCTTCCTTCTCATTAGGTGGCCAAAGTACTTGAGTTTCAACTTCAGGATCTGGCTTTCTAAAGAGCAGTTGGGGTTGATCTCCTCTAGGACTGACCGGTTTGATCGCCTTGCAGTCCAGGGGACTCGCAGGAGTCTTCTCCAGCACCAGAGTTCAAAGGCCTCAGTTCTTTGGCGCTCAGCCTTTCTTATGGTCCAACTTTCACAGCCATACTTTGCCACTGGGAAAACCATGGCCTTGACTATACGTACTTTTGTTCGCAGGGTGATGTCTCTGCTTTTTAGTAGGCTGTCTAGATTTGCCATAGCTTTCCTCCCCAGGAGCAAGCGTCTTTTAATTTCTTGGCTGCAGTCCCCATCTGTGGTGATATTGGAGCCCAGGAAGATAAAATCTGTCACTACCTCCATTTCTTCCCCATCTATTTGCCAGGAATTGAGAGGAAACTGCTTGGTCAACCATTAATGAAAAATGCTCCCAGTTCCTTCACAGGATCAGCAGTGGGACAGGAGCATCCAGGGAAGACACGAGTTATTTACCTTTAACACTAACATTTACCTTTTAACATTTACCTTTCCTTTCTGCATTTCTTGCAGCCACTGGCGAAGTCTGATCAAGCAGCTTTCCTGCAAGGGACTTAATTGTCCCAGGTAACGTTCTATATAATCAGCATCCAGTTTGTCCCCTAGGGAGACAGAAAAAAAACAGCCATGGGAGAAGCTCAGAAAAATCAGCCATGGGAGCGTAAGGCTATTAAAGCATTTCTTGCCATTTGCTTGCAGACAGCATGTAAGGCTTTTGCAACTAATCCTTGCTTACCAACTGCCTCGTTCAGTGACCATTGGAGTGCTGAAATTCAAATGTTGCAACAGTGCTGGAAAAAAAGTGATTTTACAACCAGTGCCTGAATTTATGACCTTTTGCACTATCCCTCAGTCCCATGATCCCCGTTACAGGCTTGTCCTCTGGGTGAGCTGTTGTTTTTCCTTTTATCCCTCTTGCAGATTAGAGAGTTTGGAGAAGGGATTATAAGAGAGTAAGCAGGTGTACAATGGAAAGTAATAGTCTAGTACAGGCAGCCATGAGCACATTATGCAAACAGCTGCATAATGTGCAGCTTACTTGTTTGAAATCCCTTTCTCTCCAATCTCTTCACTTTGCAAGGGGCAGGGAGGGAAAAAAATGAAACATTTTCTGTAGGCAATCTTTCTTGTGTCTAACTTGTTTCCTAATGGAGAATATCTAATGGGGAACACACTGGCTGCTTGTGTAGCATTTTCAGGCTACTGGCACCAATGCCTGAAAATGCTACACATTGTGCCTGCTTACTCTCGTTATCCTTCCTCTCCAATGAATGTAAATATGAACATTAATTCCCTTCTTGTTAATTATTCCAGTACAGCTAGAGTGAGCAATCCAAAGGGGTATGGGAGAAAGGAAAAGTCACTTGCAGTCACATATTTTCCTTCTTAGCCATCACTTTGTTTAGTGACAGAACTGCCAATCCCAACTGTGGCCACTAAACGAGGACTACCTGTCACCTTGTTCAATAACTACAAGGATGGCCTTTGAAGTTTGTTATTTCCAAAAATGGTTCTTCCACAACCCAAGAGGCTTTCACGGAATGTTTTAAAAACATGGGTCCTTCAACATTCTTCTGTTGCTCTTGCAAGACAATCGAAAGCTCTTTGATGCGCATTCCATGGATTTTTTTCAGCGATGTTCGCTCATGATTTCCAGTTAGAACAGAAGTTAATACAGTTCTGGGGGGAACAGCAGTTAAAAATGTCATTGTGACGTTGACTCATCTTCCCAAAATACAGAATTTGACATTTTATAAATAACCTTGGTCTTATCAAGTCTGGGGCTTAGCACAGAATGATTTTACATAGATGGAAATAAATGGGTCCTCCTGATGATGAGAAATGGATGCAGGATATGTGCTCATTATCAATTTCAGAAAGGTCTTTATATTACAAAAAAAAAAACGAGAAGAGGCAGCAATACATTTCTACATGGCCTATATTAAAGACTAAATTAATTTTATTTTGATATACACGGCTTATTTTTTCCCCTTGGTTTATTTTCTCTTACTCTGAGAGTAAGTTCGTTTTAAGCACTGTAGTGCATATATATTTTTTTCTTATACAATCACTGATAGATTATTTTTCTTTGTTTACCATGCAGGTAATCCTTGAATTACATCCATAATGAGGACAAGGGTTTCTGTTGCTAAGCAAGATGGTTATTAAGGGAGTCACCCTTGATTTTATAACTTTTGCTACAGTCGTCAAGCAGGTATAGGTATAGGGTTTCCTGCCTGAGCAGGGGGTTGGACTAGATGACCTCCAAGGTCCCTTCCAACTTTATTATTATTAGGTCTGGCTTCCCCCATAAACACTGCTTCTTGGAAGTCATCCAGGAAGGTTGCAAATGGCAATCACAGATGGATGTTGCAACTATTATAAATATATGCAGGCTGCCAAGCACCCAAACTCTGCTCCTGTGTTTGTAGGGATGCTGTAGTAGTCAGAAGTGTGTTGGCTGGTTGTAAACAAATAGTAAGTCGACAAATACCTGTACAAGTAATCCTTGACTTGCAACCATTCTTTTAGCAGCTGTTCAAAGTAACAACGGCACTGAAAAAAATGACGTACTGTACTTCCCCGAAAATAAGACCGGGTTTTATATTAATTTTTGCTCCAAAAGCAAATAAGCATTAGGGCTTATTTTCTGGTTAGGTCTTATTTTGGGGGAAATACGGTACTAAATGTGTCTATCTGGCTGACGATCATAACTGGGGCTTACTTTGGGGGTGGGGCTTATATTACGAGCACCCTGAAAAACCATGCTAGGGTTTATTTTCCAGTTAGGGCTTATATTCAGGGAAATACAGTATTGAATGCATCCATCTGGCTGAAGATCTTAACAGGGACTTATTTTTGAGGTGGGGCTTATATTACGAGCATCCTGAAGAATCATGCTAGGGTTTATTTTCTGCTCAGGTCTTATTTTCAGGGAAATACGGTACTGAATGCGTCCGTGTGGCTGTCAATCTCAACTGGGGCTTATTTTTGGGGTGGGGCTTATATCACAAGCATCCTGAAGAATCATGCTAGGGTTTATTTTCCAGTTGGGTCTTATTTGGGGGGAAATGCGATATAACTGTTTTTTTACCCTTATGACCCTTGCAGCATCCCCATGGCCATGTGATTAAAATTTGGCTGCTAGCAACTGGCATGTATTTATGACGGTTGCAGCATCTTGGAGTCACACGATTCCTCTTTTGCGGCCTTCCAACAAGCAAAGTCAATGTTATTCACTTAACCGTGATTCACTTAACAACTGTGGCAAGAAAGGTCACAAAAATGGGGCAAAACTCACTTAACAATGATCTTGCTTAGCAGCAGAAATATGTCACAGGCTACCTGTATTTCACTAATAATAATAATAAAAAGTTGAAATTTCAATTGGACTGAACATGCACGTTTTATTATCCTCCCGGTTCGTCTTACCTCGATTCCCTTTCCTTTCCCCCTTTTCTTTGGACAATCCTGCAATGGAGATGGAATGGTAACTATAATGACATGATTTGGGAGTGGGGGGCATTTGACACGGCAACGTTACTGAAGCCCCGTGGTTGGAGTCAACATATCAGAAATCACAAGGACATTCACTGTGTGAGCTGCCGAAGAGTTTGATCTGTGCGACGCCAACGGCAGGAAGCGTTTAAGAGATCCTAGGCATTTTTTTTAAAAAAGAATTCTAAATTCTCTTAAATCAACTGGGAGAGACAAGCCGGATTTCAAATCAATTTCTCCCTTTTTTTTGCTCAGGTCTTTCCAAGATTGCTGGGAAGAGAAATGCAATGTCATCAAGGCCGATGGAGAGAAAGAAAAAAAAAACTGGCTGGAAAGAATGCAACGTTTTTACAAGGTGAGTAGACAAGTGCAGCCCCACCAGACCAGGGAGACAGGAGGAAAACAGCCCAAAGCAGCCAGCCTTTGTATGGGCATCCGTATCCAACCAGCTCGTCAGAAGCTGTGCCAGGAGGAGAAGGATCCGGAGGCTGCAGCGGTGCCAGAAGCCTCTTGAAACAAAGACGAGACACACACACACACACACACGGCAGAGACGAGAATGAAAGAAAGAGATTTTCTAGGCTGGGTCCATAGGAGAGGACAATAGGATTGGTCACCGTTCCCAGTGCAAGCTTACTGCAACTTAAATCAAGAATGAGATGGCCCCGGAGCAGGAGAAGTCCAAGAATCAAAATTAAGTTCTCCAAGTTATCTTGAGCATAAGTCTTGCACATTTCACAAGTAGTGCGTTAGAAAACAAATGGAGAGAAGATTAGTAGCAGTACCGGGGTCAAAATCCAAAGTGGTCAATTATATGGAATGGTGATGCTAATGGAACCAGCTGCCACGGATCCAGCTGTTAGAAGCCATTACCTTCAGGAGTTGAGGCCTCCCCCGAAGGGCAGGCGTTGCCTCGCTGTTCTTTCTCGCTTCCGTGCTGGTGGGGTTCCTGCGATATTGTACCGTTATTACTCCCGGAATGACTCTTCTTCATGAGATTCCCCTTGGCCTCCGGAGGAGTCCAACGAGGGATAAAAGTGATCCCTTGGGATATCAGCTCCTTTAGATAGTGCTCAATGACTTCTTTGCCCTGAAAGGAATTGATTTATTACATTTAGAATCAACTTGTGCGATCTGTTTTGATGGCACAAAGGGATTTTGTGCAAAAGACTCTAATTGGATCTTGTTTGATCTAGCAGTAGAGTTTAGCTTCAATCCAGATTTATTTATTTATGAGATGTGGTGGTGCAGTAGTTAAAATGCAGTATTGAAGGCTAATTCTGCTAACTGCCAAGGGTTCAATCCTCAGCAGCTCAAGGTTGACTCAACCTTCCATCCTTCCGGGGTCGGTAAAATGAAGACCCAGATTGTTGGGGGCAACAGGCTGACTTTGTAAACCACTTAGAGAGGGCTGTGAAGCACTGTGAAGCGGTATATATACTTGCTATTGTTATTGCTATTCTATTGCTATTCTATTCCTCTATTCTATTCTATTCTATTCTATTCTATTCTATTCTATTCTATTCCCATAGAGACCAAGTGCCCAAACTGCAACCCAAAACCCACTTATGTATCGTTGGGTGCCGGGTGGGCATGGCCCATTGGGTGGGCGTGGCCCACTGAGTGGGCGTGGCTGCAGTGGTAACGGCAGACTGGGTGGGACTAAAAAGTTCAATCAATCAATTCCAATCTTTTTTTTCTCCCTGCAAAAAGTTGAAATTGATTGATTAATTGAACTTTTTTTTTTTTGCACATGGCAGCAGAGGCCTAAAGCGAAAAGGTTTTATAAAACCCAGCTGAAGGCCTAGGACTGGGGCGATGGCGCACGTGCCCACAGAGAGGGCTCTGCGTGCTGCCTCTGGCACCCGTGCCATAGGTTCGCCACCACGGGCCTAGAAGATCAATATTCACCCGCTTGATGTTGGCTGTGTACTGCTTCATTGCCATTTTCTCCACCGTGCTCTCAAAACCAAAGAACGACTTGATGTCAAGGGATGCAGACTGTTCAAAACACGTCCAATCTTCGTTCTCCGGATGAACCTGCCTCATAGAAGAAATGGCAGAGTTAGAAACTAACCCAACTGGCAATACCTAGACAGGAGCTTTTAAAAAAGGGACTAGGAAACCAGTTCTCAAAGATAATTTTCCACATCTTTTCTTTTTCCCATTTCCCTTCCTATCTGGGAGAAATCTCTCTGAAATTGATTGTTTTATTTCCCTTTTCTAGCAAAACCTGCCCTACAGCGATCAACGGATTTGGTTAAAAAAAACAACGATCCCAGCATTGGCTTAAAAAGCCACAGATTCACTTAATGAGCGTGACCATTTGCTTAATGATCACCTCGCAGAAAAGGGTTGTAAAATTGGGTCCTTTACAACTGGTCACACCATCTCTGACCTGGCCCTTTCCACATGAAACCATCTTCCCTTTTTTGCAGCTTCTTTTCCTGACCTTCATTTGCCTTGTCATCTTTCGACAGACCGGAGGGAAAAGCAAAGTGACGGTAGGATAAAAATGTCAACTGTATTCTAAAACAGCCACACGCAAGCAGACGTGTTTCCTGGTTTCAAGAACTGGCATTTTGTGGCCTCAA